ATGATTTTTAGGCTTCTCTCAGCATAAAATTCCCTTTGAAAGATTAATTAATACATGTACATTATGCTAATTTAGCCCATGCAAATATTTTATGAAGACAATTAAGGGACTTTTTAAATTTTTTTTGCTTCACTGACATTCATTCATTTAATTTTAATTTCACATTAACTGTTTTGATGTTTAATCTCGCAACAAAGAACTATCTCTCGGCGCAGGGTCATGTAAACTTGCCGAACACATCGAAGGGCAAACAGGTTGGAACCAGAGAAGAGATACTGGGGAAGATATTCACGTGCGCATCGTCACCATGGTGTTAGAGCCAGGCGAGAGCTGCAGTCCCAGTAGCATGGCTGCCTGGTAACTGCTACAACAGCCAGAACTCCCTCTTGGAACCAATTCAAAAACACTGCAAAAGCAATTAATAAACACAGACTGTGTTAATATCACAGAATTAGAGAAGTGTGACAAAAGACAAATGTAAATAATTAGTTATCTCTAAAATTATGCTCTCGTTAATTTGTTTTCTCTCTCTCGCCCTAGCCTGAGTTGTGTGTTGAAAATACAACATACATTTCTCTTGGCTTTTATGCGTGTGATAGGCTTGGGTGTTTTTTCATGCGTTTTCTTCGCTTGTGTAATTTATCAACATAATTTTTTCCATTTGAGGGTAATTACGGTTTACTAGGCTGGTGGCAGAGGAGAGGAGAGCAGAGGAGACATGGGTGGCAGACAAATGCTTCTCTAATTGAACAAAAGCACACATTGTTCCGTGTTAACTCAACCTTCTCCTATGTCTATTCTTTAAGGCCATGATCACTGGCATTGTGAGCTGAAGAAATGACACGCTTCATAGCTACATTGAGAAAGGCATCTGCTATATGGCCAAATTGTATCTGAACATTAGAGGACATATGTATGTTTATTGTCTATGACACTGTCAATCTACCATGACAATAGTTGCTACATGGCAATGACTATTTCTCTGAACACATACAAATAAAATTGTAATGCAATATAATAAGGAAGTGTGAAAAGTTAAGCCTCCATTTAACAATTAAACTATAAAGAGCTGTTTAATGTCAATCTTAATTCTTCCAATTTCAAATTAAGGCTGCTAAATATACACATGTAGTATGAAATGGGGGGCTATAAATGTTCTCTATCCAGACGTGAATATTTGTAGTGAAATTATGACATATGGCTTACCTTTTTTGGGACAGCCGCCCTTTTCACATCTCTCCACTGACTGAATGACATTTCATTAAGCAAGAATCCTCCCTCCTTATGGTACAAATTGCTCGATTTGTTCGCTTATTATTTCTTTTTTGACAAAAATATATTTTTAACCCTGTGCGACCCAAGCATAGATCCAAATGAGTATTTTTTTTAAATTACCCTTCAGAAATTCTAACAGGCCTCTGATTATGAATATTGTGAATTTGAAGTTTGTAGAAAACATTTATGGAAACGTGGCAAAAATGGAACATTGGGCTTCAATGGTAGCAAAAAATATGTGGTAAGAAAACTGTGAAATTATATTAAAATCACATCAAAATGGATCAAAAGCATGTGATGGAAAATATTGTCTAATGGTATATATTCGAAATGAAGTCATATTTTGTCTGAAATAGCCACATTTATCAACTTGACCAATCCAAGTTGGAGTATTTTGCTATCAAAAACATATATATATATACACATATACATACAGTGGGGAGAACAAGTATTTGATACACTGCCGATTTTACAGGTCTGTGAGAGCCGGAATTCTTACTGGTTGGTAGGTGATCAATTACTTATGTCATGCAATAAAATGCAAATTAATTATTTAAAAATCATACAATGTGATTTTCTGGATTTTTGTTTTAGATTCCGTCTCTCACAGTTGAAGTGTACCTATGATAAAAATTACAGACCTCTACATGCTTTGTAAGTAGGAAAACCTGCAAAATCGGCAGTGTATCAAATACTTGTTCTCCCCACTGTATATATATATATATATATATATATATATATATATATATATATATATATATATATATATTTACTATTCTGTAGGTTTGCTATGTATGGAAAACCTCTAACTTACTTTTAGTAATATTTGGTTGTCCTTTCTGGCTTCATTTGGAGAGATAACCTTCTATCTTACTTATTTACCATAAATGGTCGTCAATGGCAGTATTCTGACCTAATAAACTACACATTTTTTATTAAATATATAAATTTTTGTTATTTTGATGTGTAGAGGGGGCATCAAAGTTACTCTTGATGTATTTGTTTCCCGTCCAAATTCTGCAATCTCTCGAACTATCAATATATGAACGTGGCCCTATGTAATAATAATAATAATAATAATATGCCATTTAGCAGACACTTTTATCCAAAGCGACTTACAGTCGTGCGTGCATACATTTTTGTGTATGGGTGGTCCCGGGGATCGAACCCACTACCTTGGTGTTACAAGCGCAGTGCTCTACCGGTGCTCAAGCGCCGTGCTCTAGAAACTGAGACAAGAAACTGAAGATCTCGTACAACGCTGTGTACTACTCCCTTCACAGAACAGCGCAAACTGGCTCTAACCAGAATAGAAAGAGGAGTGGGAGGCCCCGGTGCACAACTGAGCAAGAGGACAAATACATTACAGTGTCTAGTTTGAGAAACAGACACCTCACATGTTTTCTAATGATCAATTAGCCTTTTAAAATGATAAACTTGGATTAGCAAACACAACGTGTCATTGGAACACAGGACTGATGGTTGCTGATAATGGGCCTCTGTATGCCTATGAAGATATTCCATAAAAAAATCAGCCGTTTACAGAAACAATAGCCATTTACAACATTAAAAATGTCTACGCTGTACATCTGATCAATTTGATGTTATTTTAATGGACAAAAAAATTGCTTTTCTTTCAAAAACAAGGACATTTCTAAGTGACCCCAAACTTTTGAACAGTAGTGTATGTCTAAGGAGATGCACTATGTAGTGTTTGACCTGATTTTGTAGTTTAGGACCTGTACAGGATGCAATTTAGGAAACATTGTTTTTTGCAACGTTGGGTCTCACAGGGTTAAGTAGGTTTATCATTACAGAGTTAAAGGGACACTACTTCCCAGCAAACAGGGGACGTCCTGAGGACATTCGGCAACGTTCCCATTAGGTCCTTTAAGAGTTTTGGCACGACGTTATCCCACTGACGTTCTGGGAATGATCTAAGAATGTCGCGTGATGGTACCAAGGAAACGTTCTCTGGGGGACCTTTTGTATAGTTCCCTGTAAATTACCAGGACATCACTGAAGACCAATGTCAGGACCTTTTTAGGACATTCTCAGGACTTTCATTTTACTAGTCCTTAGGACATCGCGTGATGGTCCCAAGGGAATGTTCTCTGACGGACATTTGTCTAGTTCCCGGTTTGTCCCGGGGACGTTTTTAAGGACGTTATTGGGACATTGTGTCATGGTCCCCTGAAGGTCCCCTGAACGTTCTTGGGACATTATGTCATTGTCCCTTGGAGGTTTAATGTAGTTTCTGGGTTGGTCCTGAGCACATTTCTAGGACATTCTCTGGATATTGTGTCATGGTGCCCTGGAGGTTTGTCTAGTTTCCAGTACATCCCGAGTACTTTTTTTTTTGGCGTTCTTGGGACGTTGTGTCATGGTCCCCTGAAGATGTTGTCTAGTTCCCGGTATCATAGTGATTTACTGTGTAATGTTTGTATTTTCCAGGGGGAATTGAGACCTGTGTCAGTGATAAAGGGGTGATGTTAGGAGCAGGGGGGAAGGAAGGGTGGGAGAGACACTGTTGGGGATTATTAGAGGAAGACATAATGATACTAATGAAGAAGTGAGAGGTGTCGTGTTCCCAAATTGTACCCTATTCCCTACAATCGCCAAGTTATCTTGCCTAGACAAGGTAATAGAATCCCTGATCAACTCCCAGCTAATAACTTTTTAAACGTCTCACTCTATTCTAAATATGCACCAATCTGGTTTTAGATCTGGACATAGCACAGTTTCAGCCACTATGCTTGTTTTAAATGATGTGTTAAATTGCCTAGATCCTATGCTCCCTTATTTATAGACCTTTCCAAGGCATTTGACACCCTTGACCATTCCCTACTCATTCAAAAACTGTCTGAAATGGGCCTGGATAAGGAGTCTTGGAAATGGTTTAAGAACTATTTGACCAACAGGACACAAAATGTGTTTTCTGATGGTGTCAAGTCTAGTTTCCTCAATATTACAAAAGGTGTACCGCAGGGGTTGATTTCGGGACCTTTTCTCTTTACTATTTATATGAATAATGTTGGTCTATGTATTAAATCCTGTAATATTCATCTGTATGCAGACGATACGGTTATGTATGCCATTGCACTGACTGTTGACCAAGCTATGTTAGAGCTGCAATCTGATTTTGTTACATTACAGAAAGCCCTTGTTGATTTAAAACTTGTACTTAATATGAGCAAAACTAAATATATGTTGTTCTTTAATTCACAGAAAAATGTATCAGATGTGCTACATATTCACTCATTGGATGGTTCTCTCACGAGTGGGTTCCTACCTATAAATATCTGGGCATTTGGATTGATAAAGATCTAATGTTTAAAAAACATCCTGATTAGCTAGTTAAAAAGCTAAGATTTAAAGTGGGCTTTTTTTAAATGAACAGCAGGAAGCAGATTATATAGTCAACTTGCCAGTTCTTGACTCAATGTTTGTCCTCAGGGCAACTTGTCTCAATTGGGTGCCCCTGAATGAATAAAAGTTATTTGCCCTGGTCAAAATTAGTGCACTAGATAGAGAATACACTACATTGGAAATAAAGTGTCATTTGGGATGCAGCCCAAGACAGTGCTGCAGTCTTCAGAGGTTATCACCACCCCCTACCTCATACCCAAGACCCCACAAGGCAAACAAACAGGTGATTAATGTCCCCCCCCCCACCCCGTGCTGTGACCCAGATGGCAAGCTGTACACTTCAACAGCAGGCAGAGTTACACTAAAAGAGAGAGAGAGAGAGAGAGAGAGAGAGAGAGAGAGAGAGAGAGAGAGAGAGAGAGAGAGAGAGAGAGAGAGAGAGAGAGAGAGAGAGAGAGAGAGAGAGAGAGAGAGAGAGAGAGAGGGAGAGAGAGAGAGATGAAGATAAACATACAGACAGAGGAACAATGATAAATAGAGAGATTAAGCTAGAGAATAACGAGAGAGTGAAACAGGGAGTAAAACAGGGAGAGAGAGAGATCAGGTTCATGTACCTTGTATTGCCCTCTCAGCATCTGTTCTTCCAGTGCTGCGGTCACTCTCCATCTCTGGGGTCAGTGAGTCTGGGACAGCAGAGGGATAGAACAGAAACTATGTTAAAGTGGAACTGACAGCGTTTTATCAACATTAAATCTTATTAAAATATGTTCATATACACTCCCAGAAATAATATGACACCTTTTTTTTTTTTTTACATTTTCTGACAAGGGAGCACTTAGATATGGTCATTTTCACATTTTCATCAATTCATAGAATGTTTGGGAATGACGTATAGTAAGGCATTTGTGAAAATTCTATAGCAATATAGAGTGGGAAAGTGGCCGTGCGTTTGGACAATTAATAGACACTGCAGTAAATAAAACCTAATAAAAACATCTGTCTTGTTCAGTACCGGAGTCTACGCAGACCGGTGCGCCATAGCCAATCAGAGCTACAGTAGGCCTATATGCAAATAAGCCATTTGCCACACAGATCTGTCATCATTCACTTTGAACTGGACTGTGTGTTTTCAGGCAGTAGAAACAGCGCGACTTCAGATCATCAGAACGCATTCGCCAAAAGCAACAAAAAATCCACCTGAATGGGTTTCTGCAATAGGTAAATACCACGGGAGTCCTCTTACATTTGAGAACTTCACAGTCCTATTGATCAAACAACCATGAAAAGACAGGCTATCTCTCCCTCAGTTGCCTATGCACATCAACAACAACAAGATCAACAACTAATGCTAGCCAGAGCGAGATGAGCTAGTGTCTATTAATTGTCCAAATGCATAGGATGCTGTATATAGCATTTTAACATATTAAAACAAAAGAGATAAATAATATTTGTCCAGCCTTTGCTGCTATGCTTGCAGATGTGCATAATATGTATTTAATAACTCCAAATAACAAAAAACGTAGCTATAGGTTGTTGTAAAATGTAAACTTAAAACATGTTTTGAATGTTTTTGCACTGCATGGATCACCAGTGCAGTTGAATGCAGCATTGCTGTATGGTGCACTCAAAATGTATTGTAGTTGAGTAGCCAGCCTAGGCTACTGCTCAAATGCAATGCTATTGAATTTGAATTCACCGATGTGTGCACATCAGGCTGTAATTTAATAAAGTAGATGACTCAAGTGTTTACTTATTTATACTCGCTTGTGTGTCCTATGCAGCCTGCAGGCCTTGTGTTTTACACATGTGCACTAGCCTATTAGCCACGTTATGACTGACTTGTGATCATTGCCCTTGCTAGTTTGATTGTATTGACATTCCCAGGCTTAGTTACAGTCGTTTGTTTTTGTTCAAAATATTGAGTCATTGAAATTGTATTGAAATTCCCAGCCTTAGTTACAGTCGTCCGTTGCTGTTCAAAATATTGAGTCATTGAAACTGAAACAGTGCATCCCGAATGGGTGGAGGCAGCAAACAATGTACCAGGCCAGCTGTGATTTACAACCTGATAGCAATATTTTTTGGACTACCATGAAATGCATTGGTGAATTATATTAATCATGCAATGAACTGCATCAATCTATTCTGCCAACAATGCCTTAATTATGCCAACAATGCCTTAATGTAAGTCATGGAATTTTGATTCAAATATAACCTATTTTTAAAACCTCTTATGAAGTTTGTTTTGAAGCATAAACTGGGAATTTGATATTTTTGACTGATTATATCATTGTCTGTTTGTTTCATATCTGCAAAGTAGTTCAAATGTTGTCCATTCCAATTTAAACATCCTTCACATGGACCAGCCACACTAAAAGCTTTCACTGAAAAACAAAATTTCCTGTAAGTGAAAAATATTTGTTTATTTGAATAAGGATGGATACAATAAGACATTGAATGATCAGTCAGATTGCTGCATCATGATTTAGCTTGGTATAACTTACAAAATGTAAAGACAATAACCCATAACACTATGAGTTGTTAGCACAACACCGTGATTGAGTGTAAATGCGATCTATTGTCTTTAGCTAGCACTCAAAACAAAGGAGAGGAGAAAAGAGGAGAGCACAGTACAGTAGAACAGAGTACAGGACAGGATAGGACAGTACAGTACAGTACAACACTCTATGATCCCCCAAGAAGCAAATGTCTTTGCTGCAAACAGTGAAATACATACAGAAAGCATATAAATACATGAAAGTAGAGTGAAACCGTGAATAAAAAACACCACTAACCATTGAGTGAGCGCAGGCTCTCTGAGGGTGACGGCTGTTTGATGCACTGTTCGGCCTGCTCCCTCCTCTTGGACTCATACCCCAGAGCCTCCTGCAGTTTCCTCTTAGCCTTCTTCTCCTTCTTCAAACGCTTCTGGATTATTGCTGAGGGAAAAGAGAGAAAAGGACAAATGTATCAAATTACTTTTATTTAACCTTTTTCTAATCAAGCATATCAATTAGGAATAAATTGTTATTTACAATGACTTGGCAAGTGTGGTGAGAGACAAGATAAACATATTAGGGCTCTAGCCTTTTGGAGCCCTAAGCGAGATTTGGTTGGGGGGGCCCCCACCTCACAGCAAAACATTTTAGTGACCCCTCTCTGACGGCGGAGAGAAACATTTTTGTTTAGAAGTTAATTTCCTGCAATTCGTTACATTTTGCCATGGGCAGATATTTTTTTGTGCAAATATATAACAAATATAATGCAGATCTACTCATTTTGCCATGGGGTGGAGATACATTTTTGAAGATTTAAATGCCCACAAGAGCGGAAATTCACTTTTTTGCGGGATTTTTTTGCTGAAAGACGATGCCCATAGCTTACCCATGATGTTGCACAATGATTTCAGTCAATAAGTTATTGTTTTAGTCAAAGTATGATATGAAGTTGTAACTTCAGATATATATGACGTAATAATACTTTTCAGTCTACATTTCTTTTCGGGCTGGGTTTTATTTCAATGTTACCACCCACCACCATGGCATTGTTTATTAATCGGAAACACCTGCAAATGTCTTCCTCTTCGCGAGTCGTGACTGAGCTGAGCAATATAATAGATATTCTTTGGCTGAGCCAAACAGCTTTTCGCCGTAGCCTACACTTGGCTGCCTGAGCCATAGAGCAAATAAAAATAGGGGGTGCAAACTTATGTTTTTTACCAGCAAATTATCAGAATCAATTGGATAATTTGTCAAGTTTCACTTATTTTGATACAGAAGATAGCCCTATTTGGTAAAAGACCAAGTCCATATTATGACTCAAATAAGCAAAGAGAAACGACAGTCCATCATTACTTTAAGGCATGAAGGTCAGTCATTACGGAACATTTCAAGAACTTTGAAAGTTTCTTCAAGTACAGTCACAAAAACCATCAAGTGCTATGATGAAACTGGCTCTCATGAGGACCGCCACAGGAATGGAAGACCCAGAGTTACCTCTGCTGCAGAGGATAAGTTCATTAGAGCTACCAGCCCAAATAAACACATCTCAACATCAACTGTTCAGAGGAGACTGCGTGAATCAGGCCTTCATGGTCGAATTGCTGCAAAGAAACCACTACTAAATAATAAGAAGAGACTTGCTTGGGCTAAGAAACACGAGCAATGGAGATTAGACCGGTGGTAATTTGTCCTTTGGTCTGGAGTCCAAATTGGAGATTTTTGGTTCCAACCGCCATGTCTTTGTTGGGTGAACGGATGATCTCTGCATGTGTATTTCCCACCGTAAAGCATGGAGGAGGAGGTGTTATGGTGTGGGGTGCTTTGCTGGTGACACTGTCTGTGATTTATTTAGAATTCAAGGCACACTTAACCAGCATGGCTACCACAGCATTCTGCAGCGATACGCCATCCCATCTGGTTTGGGCTTAGTGAGACTATCATTTGTTTTTCAACAGGACAATGACCTAACACACCTCCAGGCTGTGTAATTGTCTATTTTACCAAGAAGGAGAGTGATGGAGTGCTGCATCAGATGACCTGGCCTCCACTATCCTCTGACCTCAACCAAATTGAGATGGTTTGGGCTGAGTTGGACCGCAGAGTGAAGGAAAAGCAGCCAACAAGTGCTAAGCATATGTGGGAACTCCTTCAAGCTGCTGGAAAAGCATTCCAGGTGAAGCTGGTTGAGAGAATGCCAAGAGTGTGCAAAGCTGTCATCAAGGCAAAGGGTGGCTATTTGAAGAATCTCAAATATAAAATATATTTTGATTTGTTTAACACTTTTTTGGTTACTACATGATATATGTTATTTCATAGTTTTGATGTCTTCACTATTATTCTACAATGTAGAAATTTAAAAAAAATAAAGAAAAACCCTTGAATGAGTAGGTGTTCTAAAACTTTTGACTGGTAGTGTATGACCATTTTATGAATGGTAAAGTTCCGAGTGATATGATTGCATTTTGGAACCCCACTCCCTCGTCGCCTGAAGATGAATGGTTTTGACCATGCTCCACTGCTTTGATTGGTGCAGCTAGAAATCACACATGTCTATCTTATAATACATGCGAAAGAAAATTCCACGTAGTTGTTTATCTATTTTGTGCTGTTATTACATTGATATTGGTATTTCGTTTCATGTCCGATGTGCTCAGGGTGTTGTTATATATCATTTGCGGTGTCCATCTTGAGCAAAGTCAATATGGCCTATCATTTCACTTCCCCTAGCTGTGAGAACCATGGCATGAGCACTGGCTGACTTGTCATTGCTATAGCGCCTGCCCGCAGCCTACCAAATGTTGCACCGTGTCCATTACAATGTAGAAAAACGTGTCTCTAGTCCAAAATGTTCAATAGTTAGGCTATCCATATTAGCTATGGCAGATTTGCGGCCGCGAATTATGGAACATGCCAAAATTTGGAGATAACAATAGATGGCAAAGTCAAAGATACTGGTTTCCATCTGTGGCAAAGTTTTCCCTAAATGCTTATGACAAATCCAGATCCAGAACCAGCCATAGCCTAGCCAGCTGGCTAATCTTTTGAATACGGTGTAGCAACAACAGATAACATTATCTAGCTAGATAAGGTTAGCTTGCTAGCTAGCTACACTGACAGCTGTCAGTGCCCTACTTGTTGTTATTTCACCACTCCACGTGGACCCTCAACACGGGGGCCCCTCAGGGGTGCATGCTTTGTCCCTACCTGTACTCCCTGTTCACCCACGACTGCGTGGCCGCACACGACTCAAACACCATCATTAAGGTTGTTGACGACACGTTGGTGGTAGGCCTGATCACTGACGACGATGAGACAGCCTATAGGGAGGAGGTCAGTGACCTAACAATGTAGTGCCAGGACAACAACCTTTCCCTTAACATCAGCAAAACAAAGGAGCTGATCGTGGACTACAGGAAACGGAGGGCCGAGCACGCCCTCATCCACATCTACGGGGCTGTAGTGGAGCGGGTCGGTGTCCACATCACTAAGGAATGAAAATGGTCCACACACACCAACACAGTTGTCAAGAAGGCACGACAATGCCTCTTCTCCCTCAGGAGGCTGAAAATATTTGGCATGGGCCCTCAGATCATCAAAAAGTTATACAGCTGCACCATTGAGAGCATCACCGCTTGGGTATGGCAACTACTTGGCGTTACAGATGGTAGTGCATACGGCCCAGTACATCACTGGGGCCGAGCTCCCTGCCATCCAGGACCTCTATACCAGGCGGTGTCAGAGGAAGGGCCTAAAAATTGTCAAAGACTCCAGCCACCCAAGTCATAGACTGTTCTTTCTGCTACTGTACAGCAAGCAGTACTGATGCACCAAGTCTGTAACCAACAGGACGCTGAACAGCTTCTACCCCCAAGCCATAAGACTGCTAAATAGTTAACCAAATAGCTACCCGGACTATCTGCATTGACCCTTTTTGCACTAACTATTATTATTCATCACAAACACTGCTGCTACTGCTTATTATCTATCCTTTTGCCTAGTCACTTTACCCCTACCTATATTTACATAACGTATCTACCTCAATTACCTCGTACCCTTGCACATCGACTCGGTACTGGTACCCTGTGTATATAGCCAAGTTGTTGTTCGTTACTCATTCTGTATTTATTCCTTGTGTTATTATCTTTAAGCATTTCACTGTTAGTCTACACCTGTTGTTTATGAAGCATGTGACAAATACAATTTGATTGAATGTGATTGATTGACTGATTGATTGATTGAAATCACCACAACATTCCCACCCTCAATTCAGAGGTGGAACCTAAACGAGATTTCCGCTACAGGACAAGAATTACATTGAAATAGGGACGGCATTGGCCTCTGGTGGGGCCTTTAAAGCAACATTTCTACAATTCTACACATTTTGCCATGACTTATGCCATGTTAATATGATATCTGAATGAGAATGACTAATAAAATAAATCGGGGCCCCCTGGAGGTCAGGGTCCCTGGGCATGTGCCCTGCGTGCCCGTTCGGCATTTGGCCATGATTACTACAAGTTTAGATAGCTGGCTGGACTAATTACTATTTAAAAAATGTACATGGCTAATTGGTAGCTAATTGAATGACTGATATAACAAGAAAACCTATTCTGATGCACAACAACATTTCGAAATTGCACCAGGTGTATTTTACTATTCTTACATACAGTAGTAAGTTGAGACCCTGACTGAGTTCATTAAAAAATGATTTAAATAAACATCGCTTATGCCAAGAGGTGGCGCTGGAATCATCAAAAACTACAGGGCAGAAACGTTGCAAACAACAGAGTAGAAACTGAGTTTTCCCTCTACAGAAAATGTAAGAAGTTTTTAAGGCAACATTTGGGCTGAAATCCTAACATGGAATGAACGCTCAAAATCATGAATTTATGTCAAAGGGAGATTGAGAAGACTTGGGCTGGCTTGTGCTGGAAATAAGACTTTGCAAACTATATTACATTTAAATTTTAGTCATTTAGCAGACTATTGAATTCAAATCAGCAGGGGGCGGAGCTAGCTTGTTGGAGTGAACGACTGTGTGTGAGAGGCTCCCGCAACTTTTTTGCGAAATAATCTAACCTAACTTACTTTATTGCACTTGTTACAACAAACTTTTCTTTCTAATACAATATTATAACTTTCTATGTGAAAATGCCTAGTAATAAGCGACCAAAGGACAATAAATCCACATCAGAGGCCTACTCCCCACCAAACAACGAGACAAACATGGCGGAAGGCACAGGTAAAAACGTGACACTTACAGAACTTACCCGGGCTTTGGGAGAACTACGTGTTGCTATAGCGGAGGATCTTAAGGCTACTATTGCTGAACTGGACACTAAAATCGAGAGCACCATTCGAACGGTCGCTTCGCAGGGCCAGAGTATTGTGGACCTTGAGAAAGCTTCTGAATTCAACGCTGGTAGGATCGATGAGTTAGAGAAGCTATGCACGTCATTGCAGGATAATGTGCAGAGGCTTTCTGTGAAAGTGGTCGACCTGGAGGGCAGATCCAGGCGTCATAACCTTCGCGTTGTGGGTCTGGCAGAAGGGGTGGAGGCGGGCTCTCGCCCCACCGACTTCTTCGCCAAGCTACTGAAGGATGCAATGGGACCGGATGTTTTTGCGTCGGATCCCCTACTGGACCGTGCACATCGCGCCCTTGTCCCAGTGCCTGGACCGGGCCAGCGTCCTCGCCCAGTAATCATCTGTTGTCACAGTTTCAAGACCAAGGATCTTATCCAGCGCGAGGCTCGAATGAGGGGCAACCTGTTACATAAAGGGCACCCCTTTCGTGTCTATGAGGACTCCATCTTCGCCCAGCCTTGCTCTTCCCTGCAAGACTAAGAATTACCCCGCCTTCCGGGGAGAAGATTTGGCTCTCCTCGGTTTTGGACACAGAGAAGGTTATCCGGGAATATACACCAATCCCCAGTACAGGTTAGAGTGCCTTGTCATTGTGTGTTAGGGTCTGCTCACGGACTCGAATCCATACCATACCATAACGGGTGAAACCGTATTAAACGGTCTCAGCAAGGGCTACCGAACATGTAATACGATGAGCTGACCAATGGAGGGCGGTCAGAGCTCTCACTTAACGTTAATTTCACTTTCATTCCGACTGGGTTTAGAGCGATGCCTGTTTGGGAGGCCTTCCAGGTCGGATCATTGACACTTTCGGATGGATATACAGTGGGGAGAACAAGTATTTGATACACTGCCGATTTTGCAGGTTTTCCTACTTACAAAGCATGTAGAGGTCTGTAATTTTTATTATAGGTACACTTCAACTGTGAGAGACGGAATCTAAAACAAAAATCCAGAAAATCACATTGTATGATTTTTAAGTAATTAATTTGCATTTTATTGCATGACATAAGTATTTGATCACCTACCAACCAGTAAGAATTCCGGCTCTCACAGACCTGTTAGTTTTTCTTTAAGAAGCCCTCCTGTTCTCCACTCATTACCTGTATTAATTGCACCTGTTTGAACTCGTTACCTGTATAAAAGACACCTGTCCACACACTCAATCAAACAGACTCCAACCTCTCCACAATGGCCAAGACCAGAGCGCTGTGTAAGGACATCAGGGTTAAAATTGTAGACCTGCACAAGGCTGGGATGGGCTACAGGACAATAGGCAAGCAGCTTGGTGAGAAGGCAACAACTGTTGGCGCAATTATTAGAAATTGGAAGAAGTTCAAGATGACGGTCAATCACCCTCGGTCTGGGGCTCCGTGCAAGATCTCACCTCGTGGGGCATCAATGATCATGAGGAAGGTGAGGGATCAGCCCAGAACTACACAGCAGGACCTGGTCAATCACCTGAAGAGAGCTGGGACCACAGTCTCAAAGAAAACCATTAGTAACACACTACGCCGTCATGGATTAAAATCCTGCAGCGCACGCAAGGTCCCCCTGCTCAAGCCAGCGCATGTCCAGGCCCGTCTGAAGTTTGCCAATGACCATCTGGATGATCCAGAGGAGGAATGGGAGAAGGTCATGTGGTCTGATGAGACAAAAATAGAGCTTTTTGGTCTAAACTCCACTCGCCGTGTTTGGAGGAAGAAGAAGGATGAGTACAACCCCAAGATCACCATCCCAACCATGAAGCATGGAGGTGGAAAAATCATTATTTGGGGATGCTTTTCTGCAAAGGGGACAGGACGACTGCACCGTATTGAGGGGAGGATGGAAGGGGCCATGTATCACGAGATCTTGGCCAACAACCTCCTTCCCTCAGTAAGAGCATTGAAGATGGGTCGTGCCTGGGTCTTCCAGCATGACAACGACCCGAAACACACAGCCAGGGCAACTAAGGAGTGGCTCCGTAAGAAGCATCTCAAGGTCCTGGAGTGGCCTAGCCAGTCTCCAGACCTGAACCCAATAGAAAATCTTTGGAGGGAGCTGAAAGTCCGTATTGCCCAGCGACAGCCCCGAAACCTGAAGGATCTGGAGAAGGTCTGTATGGAGGAGTGGGCCAAAATCCCTGCTGCAGTGTGTGCAAACCTGGTCAAGACCTACAGGAAATGTATGATCTCTGTAATTGCAAACAAAGGTTTCTGTACCAAATATTAAGTTCTGCTTTTCTGATGTATCAAATACTTATGTCATGCAATAAAATGCAAATTAATTACTTAAAAATCATACAATGTGATTTTCTGGATTTTTGATTAAGATTCCGTCTCTCACAGTTGAAGTGTACCTATGATAAAAATGACAGACCTCTACATGCTCCTGAGTGGCGCAGTGGTCTAAGGCACTGCATCGCAGTGCTAACTGTGCCACTAGAGATCCTGGTTGGAATCCAGGCTCTGTCGCAGCCGGCCGCGACCGGGAGACTCATGGGCGGCGCACAATTGGCCCAGCGTCGTCCAGGGTAGGGGAGGGAATGGCCGGCAGGGATGTAGCTCAGTTGATAGAGCATGGCGTTTGCAACGCCAGGGTTGTGGGTTTGATTCCCACGGGGGGGCAGTATAAAAAGATATGTATTCACTAACTGTAAGTCGCTCTGGATAAGAGCGTCTGCTAAATGACTAAAAATGTAAAAAATGTCAAATGTAAGTAGGAAAACCTGCAAAATCGGCAGTGTATCAAATACTTGTTCTCCCCACTGTACTTATATTCCCCCATTTTTGTATTGTTTCGTTATTTATTTTTCAATTCTTACATTATTCCTATTACCATACCATGTATTTATTGCTTGCAGGGGTCTGGGGGTGATGGTTGGGAAGGGGCAGACACAGACACCTGGATAGCAAGTTGATGCTTTGTCCTGTTCTGCCTTTGTCATAGCCTTGCCCACTTTCACGATCTGATTCCCACCAGCCCTCCGTGGTGCTTGTGTCTGTGTAGGTGTGCGTACATATAATAATAATTATTTGTACTTTATTATTATTTTCTCTTAGCATTTTAGTATTATGTATGTGTATATTTTAAATTAGTATAGATTATTATTCTGGGGTATGATTGTTTGTGTATGTAGATGTGTGTGTATGGATGTATGTGTGTATGTGTGTGTATGTATCTGTATATATTTAAGAATATTTATTTTATATGTATATTTTTTTGGGGGGTTGTGTGTATGTATGTGTGTGTGTATACGTGTGTATATGTGTGTGTGTGTGCATATATATATATATATATATATATATATATATATATATATGCACGTGTATGTGTGCACATATGTATATATAAATCACTATTTTTTTTAATTATTTTTTGATTGGGGGGTACGTTCAATTTATCAAAATCCTTGTTCCCATCTCCTAACCCACAATATGTAACTGTACTGCTGTCTATGTCGGTTACTGATGGTTTATGTTTAGACCGGTATTGCTTAGCAATAGAATATTGTGATGATACATCTTGCTTATCTCAGGGATTGACCCAAGATGAACCTTAAGTGCGCAATATGTTTAAGTTGCAACTTATTCTGTTTAGGTTTATTAGATGCTAATTGAACACTTTAAGTGCGGGAGCCTCCTCAGTTCATATGTTAGCAGAAGTTCTAGGATAGTGAGAGGTGAGCGTATAGTTGGGATTTTATTTTTGTTTTACCTCTTGTTCGAGGTCGCGCCATGCTTTTTTGGCATTGGCCAGACAATATGTTTGTTATTTTTATTTTCATATTTTTTTCTGTCCTATGTGTGTATGCCTGTTAAATGTGGGTTGATGGGGGGGGTAAAGGTTGGGGAAAGTAGGGGAACAGGGTGGAGAGTAAAGGTGCTTGCGGGGGGGGGAGGGGTGGGTTGGATACTGCTCGGGTGTAGGTGCTACATATGCTGATCGTGATGGTTTGGTGCGCTTTCTTACCTTTTTAGTGAGTTACATGTTATGCAGGCCACCATAGGAACTACAAATGAGAGGAGGGCGGGACTTACATTCACTTCCTGGAATGTCAAGGGTTTAAACGAACCAATTAAGAGAGGCAGGGTCCTAGCCCACTTGAAAGCACTTTCGTCTGATATTATATTTTTGCAAGAAACCCATCTGAAAAACAAATCTCATAACAGACTTAAATGTAAGTGGGTGGGGCAAGTGTATCACCCTAACTTCTCTGCCAAAACGAGAGGCACAGCGATTCTGGTATGGAAAGGAATTCCCTTTCTACATAAAACCACTATTGTGGATAAAGAGGGTCGTTATGTCGGGGGTCATTCTACTTCTGTAACTCTACTAAATATCTATGGGCCAAACATTGATAACCCCTCTTTTTTCAAAAGAGTCGTTGCCCTGATTCCAGATATCTCCCATACTAATCTGGTCATTGGAGGGGACCTTAACTGTGTACTAGACCAATATTTGGATAGATCCTCTACCCGGCGAACCCCTACCTCCTATTCAAGTGAATTCTTGAATACCTACATAAAAAATTCGAACTTATTTGATATATGGAGAATCTCTAATCCCACGGGTAGGGAATACTCCTTTTACTCTCATGTTCACAATGTATATACTCGAATTGACTACTTTTTGGTTGATGCTAAACTACTCCCCTATACCTGTAATGTGAGACATCATGATATTATAATCTCTGACCACAGTCCACTCACCTTCTCCCTGAGATTGGGTGACATCGTACCAAACGAGAGGGTCTGGAGGTTGAATCCTCAGCTCCTCACAGAACCAACATTCTGTGAACATCTTAAAGACCAAATTACATTTTTCTTTGATACCAACGACAACACAGAGACTTCCCCAGCATTATTGTGGGAAACGCTGAAGGCTTATTTGAGAGGCTGTATCATCTCCTTTCAGAATGCCAGGAGTAGGCAAAACAGAAAAAAATTGGTAGAACTGGAGGGACAAATTCACTTACTGGATAGGGAGAATGCTAGACATCCATCTATGGAGAAACATAGAAAAATTATGTCTTTAAAATTTAAATACAATCAGATCCCCTCGGCTAAAATTGCTAAATCTTTTCTCTATGCCAAGCAAAGATATTTTGAGTTTGGTGAAAAACCACACAAATTACTCGCCAGACAACTTCGAAAAAATGTGAGTGACCGAATGATTCACAAAGTTAAATCTGCATCTGGGGAAATACTCTCCTCCTCCAAAGACATCAATGACAGATTCCGTCAGTTTTATGAGACTCTATATACATCTAAAGCGGATCCTAACCCCTTAATTATGCAAAACTTTTTGGAGGACTGTAATCTTCCTGCCCTGAACCAGGAAGACTCTAACTTCCTGAATAAGGACATATCTCTTGAAGAAATTAGAGAAACAATTAAATCTCTAAAAAGTGGCAAGACCCCGGGCCCAGATGGATACCCTGGTGAATTCTATAAAACATTCAGCAACATGATCTCTCCCTACCTGCAGAAAATGTTGGTTCGGGCCAATGAGAATGGAGCTCTCCCATCTACTTTGGATGAGGCGTTTATTACAGTTATACATAAGAAGGGTAAAGATCCGGAAGAGGTAGGGTCATACAGACCAATATCCCTCCTTAATACAGACCAAAAGATTTTAGCACAAACTCTGGCTAACAGGCTTAGCACTTTAATTGGCAAATTGGTCCATTCGGACCAGACCGGCTTTATCCCTAATAGAAACTCATTCTTCAATCTCAGGCGCCTCTTCAACATTATGTATTCTCAGAGGTTACCTAACGTGGACCTTGCCGTTATATCTCTTGACGCCGAAAAGGCCTTTGACCAAGTTGAGTGGCCCTATCTATTCAAGGTCCTACAGAAATGTAATATTGGAGATGGGTTCATAAATTGGATCCAGCTTTTATATAGGAACCCCTGTGCGAGAATACTCACTAACCAATCAATGTCGCCCCAATTTAACCTTCACAGAGGGACAAGGCAGGGTTGTGCGCTGTCGCCTATGCTCTTCGCCCTAATTATTGAACCTCTCGCTCAAGCGATCAGATCTCATTCAGCAATACACGGCTATAATACTAAAGATACTCTAAATAAGATTTCCCTATACGCAGATGATATTCTCCTCTATGTAACAGAACCCCAAGCTAGTATTCCAGCTATTCTTGAGGTGATTAATTTGTTTGGTACCTTCTCGGGATACAGAATAAATTGGAACAAGAGTGAATTAATGCCCATACGGTTGCAAAACACCTCCTGGCTAGAATATCTTCCAGTTAAGTTATCTTCAGAAAAATGTATCTACCTTGGAATTGTAGTTACCAAACAATACTCCTTACTATTTAAAGAGAATTTCCCTTCTCTGATGCAAAATCTCAAGGCAAACATACAATTTTGGAGAACTCTCCCAATTTCTCTGCTCGGAAGAATTAATGCCATTAAAATGGTCTTCCTCCCACAACTGCTCTACCTATACCAGAACATCCCAGTATTCATACCTAAATCCTTTCATAAACAACTGGACTCTATTATCAATCCTTTCATCTGGGATTATAAAACACACAGGATAGGCAAAAAACACCTATGTAAATCCAAGATGGAAGGAGGATTGTCTCTCCCAAATTTTATATTTTACTATTGGGCCGCTAACCTCCACGCTGTTACGTTTTTGCTGGATGACGCACCCCCGCCATCTAGCTGGCTTAGCATGGAGCGGGAGGACCCCTTCTCTATTGGTGCTGTGATTTTGTCACCTGTCAATCTGGAGATGTCACTTTACCGTAACAATCCTATTATACATAGCACAGTCCGAATCTGGAAGCAAATTAAAGTCCACTTTGAGCTTAGACCAATATCATTCATGCTCCCTGTTGCCAGGAATCCCTCCTTTGCACCCTCTAACCTTGATAACACCTTTGAGCGATGGGGAGAGTTGAAGAACTAGGGACTGATATTTCGGTGGGAGACTGGGAGGATAGCTTGGAGTATATCCACACCTGCTCCATTAACTCCAGACATCGTCTCATACAATTTAAGGTATTACACAGATTACACTATTCCAAAACTAAACTGCATAGGATATTTCCTGATACATCCCCTATGTGTGATACATGTCAGGCTGAGCAGGGTACACTACTCCACTGCTTTGCCCTATGCTCTAGTCTGTATGGTTATTGGTGTGGCATTTTTGGGGTCCTCTCTGAAGTTCTGGAGACTTCAATAGACCCAGACCCGCTTCTGATAATCCTGGGAGTGTCCGATTCCCTAAACGGATTAACCAACTCCCAAAAACAACTCATCTCTTACAGTCTCATTTCGGCAAAAAAAAATCTTGTTGTTTTGGAAAAGGAGGGAAGCGCCCCCTACTAAATTATGGCTCAGCGAATTGGCAAACACTGTACACTTAGAAAGAATTAGATATATTCTGAACAATAAATTATCAACATTTGATCAAATCTGGCAGCCTTTCCTCTCTTACCTGGACCAGTCGGCGCTGTGAATTTGTACTTTTTAACGCACTCTCAATTGTCATATTGTAATCTACCTTTGGGCAGCGTGTGCTGGCCCCGACATTCGAGCAGTCGGGAGGGGAATAGGGTGGAATAAGGGGGGGGGGGGGGGGGATAAAGGGGGGTATAAGTGGGGGGGTTACATCTACCCTTTTTCTTTCTACTTGTCCCTGTTCTGTATGTCTTGTTTTGTAATATTTGTTTTGTGTTCAGAACTCTGGGTCTTGTTGTTCATGTCTGTTCTCTTATGTTTAGATAAGAACTGTACACATGTATTTCTTACCTATACAGCATTCTTGTGTGTGTTCAATAAAAAATATTTGGACATAATTCAAATCAGCAAACTGCTGGAGGGTCTTAAAGAAAATGAGCTAATTTCTAAGGGTGTTTTCATGAAATTGGCTCATTAAATAATAGAGTATTTGATTAAACTGTTGCAGAGCTTTATAAAACACAAACGTGTTAACTTAAGTTCTATTTGTGTCACTTTTGTTTAGTATGACGATGAATCATTAATTTCTATAATTCAATATGGATCCATAATTATCTGATCTCTCGCAGCGGTGGGGAACAATACTAAGTGGTTCGTTCATTGGAAGCAGCGACATAGAAACACACAGCAGTTTTCTTATGCATGTATGACCCTGTTAATTATTTAGATATGTGTGTTAAACTGTTTTAATGAGCTCTGAAACATGCATACTCAATCGAATTTCAAGGGCTGTGTCCCAAAATGTACCCTATGGGCCCCGGTCAAAAGTAGTGCACTACATAGGGTATATGGTGCCATTTAGGATGCATGCAATGTATTTTCATTTAGATACTATATGTAGGATCATGTACTGTGCTGTGTGCATATTGTGTACTGCATGAGTCTCCAACCTTTTCTTGCCCAGGGATTGCATTAGCTTCCCAAAAAATGTCACGTCTTGTCTTATCATCAGGTGAATGATAATGGCAAGGAGAAGTAATCAACATTTTTAAATGAGTAGACTTGGTAGATCGTTTTTCATTATTTTGACCTACCCACATTATAATTTGCTAAAAAGGTAACTCCAAACACATTTTCGACTAAGAGCAGCTGTTTAGCTGGTTAACACTAGAACCGCTAAAGCATTAATTTTGACTGCTCATGATTTTTATTTATTTATTACTCTACCATTTTTAAAGTCATGACCCCCTCCGTCCGTGACTTTTCCTAAATAAGTCTATATAACACACTGTCAGTGTTAGAATCTTAATATCACAAACAGAACTGGAGTTATAACCAGTTTTAGGAGGGCATGTCATTTTTTTGAATGGTTTTCCCCCGTTGCTCCTCCTTCTCCCAACAGTTGAAAGTGCAGTGCCCAGCTGATAATCACCCCGATAAGTGCCTCGAAACTGAACCTAAACTATATCGAAACTAATTTCACACATATAACAACGGATGAAATAAATTAAGTAAAGTATGATGGGGAGAAAGGGGAGAATGTGTGAGTTGATGAGTGAGGGGAAGCGAACGATGCATAATTATGTAATCACCAATTGTGAATGAAGAACAGGGCGGACCATTCTATTGTATTGATCCATTGTAATTATAATCTTTAAATGGTACAGTGCCGTGAAAAAGTATTTGCCCCCTTTCTAATTTTCTTTACTTTTGCATATTTTTGATACTGAATGTTATCAGATCTTCAACCAAAACCTAATATTAGATAAAGGAAACCTGAGTGAACAAAGTTAAGCAACACCCAATGCCCCTGTGTGAAAAAGTAATTGCCCCCTTACACTTAATAACTGGTTGTGCCACCTTTCACTGCAATGACTCCAACCAAACACTTCCTGTAGTTGTTGATCAGTCTCTCACGTCGCTGTGGAGGAATTTTCTTCCATGCAGAACTGCTGTAACTCAGCGACATTTGTGTGTTATCGAGCAAGAACTGCTTGTTTCAAGTCTTTTTTTTTTTTTTTTTCTATATTTTTTTTTTTGGGGGGGTAGATGAGCTTTAATATTGCAGATAGATTGTTACTTCCATCAATGTAATTGTCTGCATCACTTGTTTTTTTCTCTCGCATAATATATATATATATACATATATATATATATATATTATATATATATATATATATATATATATATATATATACATACATACACATACATACATATACGCATATACATACATACATACATATATATATACATACATATCCTTTAAAAATATATACAGTGAGGGAAAAAAGTATTTGATCCCCTGCTGATTTTGTACGTTTGCCCACTGACAAAGACATGATCAGTCTATAATTTTAATGGTAGGTTTATTTGAACAGTGAGAGACAGAATAACAACAACAAAATCCAGAAAAACGCATGTAAAAAATGTTATAAAGTGATTTGCATTTTAATGAGGGAAATAAGTATTTGACCCCTCTGCAAAACATGACTTAGTACTTGGTGGCAAAACCCTTGTTGGCAATCACAGAGGTCAGACGTTTCTTGTAGTTGGCCACCAGGTTTGCACACATCTCAGGAGGGATTTTGTTCCACTCCTCTTTGCAGATCTTCTCCAAGTCATTAAGGTTTCGAGGCTGACGTTTGGCAACTCGAACCTTCAGCTACCTCCACAGATTTTCTATGGGATTAAGGTCTGGAGACTGGCTAGGCCACTCCAGGACCTTAATGTGGTTCTTCTTCAGCAACTCCTTTGTTGCCTTGGCCGTGTGTTTTGGGTCATTGTCATGCTGTAATACCCATCCACGACCCATTTTCAATGCCCTGTCTGAGGGAAGGAGGTTCTCACCCAAGATTTGACGGTACATGGCCCCGTCCATCGTTCCTTTGTGGGGTGAAGTTGTCCTGTCCCCTTAGCAGAAAAACACCCCCAAAGCATAATGTTTCCACCTCCATGTTTGACAGTGGGGATGGTGTTCTTGGGGTCATAGGCAGCATTCGTCCTCCTCCAAACACGGCGAGTTGAGTTGATGCCAAAGAGCTCCATTTTGGTCTCATCTGACCAAAACACTTTCACCCAGTTTTCCTCTGAATCATTCAGATGTTCATTGGCAAACTTCACACGGCCCTGTATATGTGCTTTCTTGAGCAGGGGGACCTTGTGGGCGCTGCAGGATTTCAGTCCTTCACGGCGTAGTGTGTTACCAATTGTTTTCTTGGTGACTATGGTCCCAGCTGCCTTGAGATCATTGACAAGATCCTCCCGTGTAGTTCTGGGCTGATTCCTCACTGTTCTCATGATCATTGCAACTCCACGAGGTGAGATCTTGCATGGAGCCACAGGCAGAGGGAGATTGTCAGGTCTTTTGTGTTTCTTCCATTTGCGAATAATCGCACCAACTGTTGTCACCTTCTCACCAAGCTGCTTGGCGATGGTCTTGTAGCCCATTCCATCCTTGTGTAGGTCTACAATCTTGTCCCTGACATCCTTGGAGAGCTCTTTGGTCTTGGCCATGGTGGAGAGTTTGGAATCTGATTGATTGATTGCTTTTGTGGACAGGTGTCTTTTATACAGGTAACAAGCTGAGATTAGGAGCACTCCCTTTAAGATTGTGCTCCTAATCTCAACTCGTTACCTGTATAAAATACACCTGGGAGCCAGAAATCTTTCTGATTGAGAGGGGGTCAAATACTTATTTCCCTCATTAAAATGCAAATCAATTTATAACATTTTTGACATGCGTTTTTCTGGATTTTTTTGTTGTTATTCTGTCTCTCACTGTTCAAATAAACCTACCATTAAAATTATAGACTGATCATTTCTTTGTCAGTGGGCAAACGTACAAAATCAGCAGGGGATCAAATACTATTTTCCCTCACTGTATGTTTCTATTTATTACTTTCCAACCCCACCATCCCTTCCCTAATTGGAGTAAAATAGTGAACAACAATGCTTAGGCCTCTACTTAATGCTTATACGTACTATATACATTTTATGGACACAGTCAATAATTATATTTTGTTTGTTTTTACTCCTGAACTTCCTCCGATCATTTTCATGATGTCCATCTGGTATGCTTCTATATGCCATATCTTTCTAACTGTGCTCTTTCACAAAAGCTAACAATATATAACCTATATACTTATTATGGACACAGCATGTCTTACACTAGTTATCTTGTTGTTATTAGTTGTTGTTATTAGTCCCATCCTTCAGCTCCATTCAACACCATCCATATTGGATTTCCATTTGCCATATCTTTTTCAACTGTACTGTGATGTTTTACAAAAGTTCTGAACCTTTCTATTCTCATTGTTTCTACAGTTTGTGAATTGAAAATAAACATTTTTGCTAAAAATATTATTATATTATTGATCGATTGACTATGACTTTTCAGATCACCCAGTAGTCAGCTCCATAAAAATATTGCAATCCTTCAGCCATTCCTGGACCTGTGTCCAGAATCAAGCTACAAATGGACAATAACAAAACAAATTATCTAATGATTCTTTCTCTTCACAGCCAAATCTGCAGAGCTGGGAAGATTGTATCCCCCATACAAATAACATTCTATTGGTAGCAAGAATAGGACGGCTGTCACTCTTTTGGTCCTTAAATGAAACTGGTAAACTTTTTTATTTATCACAATTTCCTTTAACCAATGATGTTCTTTAATGCAAGGCCGACAAACAAGATCCTTACTTTTTCCTCCTTTCACTTTCCTCTTCCATTGTTGCGGTAATGCTGCAATTATTTGGTTGTAATTTTGGGTAGAGCAGACATTTCCATATGTTTTTGTTAGCTGCATGTGTGACATAACTCCACCATTCCTACCGATAATATCATTTACGAAGATTATACCTTTTTTAAACATTTTCTCAAAAAAGAACGTTTTTTTAATCAATTAGTATATTTGAGTTTAACCACAATATTTGTTGCAATATTTGTTCTGTCATTTCTGGAGGATTAAATTGAAATTGCAACCAACTTTCTATGGCTTGTTTTAGAAATAGTTATATTTGGGAGATGATTTCCTTTTCAAATACCTGAAAGTGAGAGGTTGTAATCTGAATAAAGGGAAAAAGTCCCTTCTTGAACATTGGGTGAGACAATGTTACTAGTTTGCTAGAGAACCAGTTCGGATTTAAGTATAATTTTTGTATGACTGAAGCTTTTAGTGATAAGCCTAATGCTTTAATATTTAATAATTTCTGTCCTCCTAATTCATATTCATTATATAAATAGACCCGTTTAATTTTGTCTGGCTTGCCGTTCCAAATAAAATGGAATATTTTTTTCTCATATAATAAAAAAAAACTGTTCGCTAGGCGTAGGCAAGACCATAAGCAAATAGGTAAACTGTGATAATACTAAAGAGTTAATCAGGGTGATTTTTCCACAAATTGACAGGTATTTACCTTTCCATGGTAGCAAGATCTTATCTATTTTTGCTAACTTTCTATTAATTTTTTTGGGAGTGAGATCATTTATTTCATTTGGGATATGTATTCCGAGTATATCCACATCACCATCAGACCATTTAATTGGTAAACTACATGGTAATGTAAAAATTGTATTTTTTTGTGATCCAATACGTAATATAGTAAATTTATCATAATTTGGTTGTAATCCAGAGAGGTTAGAAAGAAAAGAAAACATGAATCATCAGCGTACAATGACACCTTTGTTTTTAAGCCCTGGATTTCTAATCCCTTGATATTATTATTGGAACTGATTTTAATAGCTAACATCTCGATAAGAGCGTCTGCTAAATGACTTAAATGTAAATGTAAATGTCGATGGCAATAATAAATAGATATGCCGATAGTGGACAACCTTGTTTCACTCCTCTTGACCGTTTAAAACTTTCTGAGAAATAGCCATTATTTACTATTTTACACCTAGGGTTACTATACATGATTTTAACCCAATTTATAAGAGATTGTCCAAAATTGGAATGCTCCCGGCATTTATATATAAACCCCAGTCATACTTTATCAAATGCCTTTTTGAAGTCTGCTATGAATAGTAGGCCTGGTTTCCCACATTTTTCATAGTGTTCTATTGTTTCCAGTACTTGTCTTATATTATCTCCAATGTATTGCCCATGTAAAAAACCTGTCTGATTAGAATGAATAATGTCCGACAATACCTTTTTAATTCTATGCGCTATACATTTTTTCTAGAATTTTTGCATCACAACACTGAAGTGTAAGGGGCCGCCAATTTTTTTAATGGACTGGATCTTTATATTTTCCACTTGTATCCTGTTTCAGTAATAATGAAATCAGACCTTCTTCTTGAGTGTCTGATAATCTACCATTTATATAGGAGTGGTTAAAACATGCTAATAACGGTCCTCTGAGTATATCAAAAAAGGTTTGGTATACCTCGACTGGTATGCCATCCAACCCTGGAGTTTTCCCGGACTTAAAGTCTGTAATTGCATCCAGAAGTTCCTCCTCTGTAATTTCACCTTCACATGAGTCTTTCTGTATGGCTGTTAATTTTACATTATAAATAGAAAAAAAAATCTCTACAATTTGCTTCAGTTAGAGGAGATGGAGGCGACTGAAATGAAAACATATGCTTAAAGTACTTTGTTTCCTCCTTCAAAATATAATTTGGTGAATCATGGGTGACTCCGTCATTTGTAACCAGTTTCAATAAATTATTTTTGGTAGCATTCCTATGTTGGAGATATAAAACTATTTTAGTGCATTTTCCCCCATATTCCATACAGTTTGCTTTATTTTTATAATATATTACACTTGATCTTTCTTGAATACATTTCTCAATTTCTTTTTGTTTTTCCACTAATTTATTCTGAGCCTCTATGTTACAGTTTCTATTGCTATCCTATCTGTTCTGTTAGACCTTCTATTTCCTTTGTTAGTGTGGACTCTTTTGACCTAAATTGCTTTTGTTTTCAAGATGAGTACTGAATTGCATGGCCTCTAAAGGCACATTTAAAGGTGTCCCATACAATAAGGGGATTTGCTGTACCTATGTTATGTTGTAAAAAATCAGTTATAAATTCCTCTGTCCTAGTTAAAAACAAGTTATCATCCAATAGGCTTTGATTAAATTTCCAATATCCTCGCCCACGTGGAAATTCAGTAAGAGTAATGTATATGCTAATTATATGATGGTCTGACCGCATTCTGTCCCCTATCAACACTTTTTAAACTTTTGGTGCCAACGAGAATGACATAAGAAAGAAGTCAAGACGACTAGCTTGATTGAGTCTCCGCCATGTATATCTCACTAGATCAGGATATATAAGCCTCCATATATCTACTAGTTCTAATGTATCCATGACATTCACAATTTCCTTAAGAGCATGAGGGTGATTGTTTGTAGTGTGATTTCACTGTCAATCTCCCTCGGCCTGGGGCTCCATGCAAGATCTCACCTTGTGGAGTTGCAATGATCATGAGAACGGTGAGGAATCAGCCCAGAACTACACCGGAGGATCTTGTCAATGATCTCAAGGCAGCTGGGACCATAGTCACCAAGAAAACAATTGGTAACACACTACGCCGTGAAGGACTGAAATCCTGCAGCGCCCGCAAGGTCCCCCTGCTCAAGAAAGCACATATACAGGCCCGTCTGAACTTTGCCAATGATCATCGGAATGATTCAAAGGAGAACTGGGTGAAAGTGTTGTGGTCAGATGAGACCAAAATCGAGCTCTTTGGCATCAACTCAACTCGCCGTGTTTGGAGGAGGAGGAATGCTGCAGTACCTCCGTGGACCCTGGTTGAATATCCCTGGTGTAATGTAATTGTTGTTCTTGTGAGCAGTAGATAGTAGACTGCACTGCTATGTGACCCACACACAGAGACTCTGAGTCATTCTCTTTCACATACAACCCCCCCCCCCCCCCCCCCCCCCCCCCCTCCCCCTCCCCCCCTCTATCTCTCTCCATCTCTCTCGCGCGCTCTGCCAGGTGGTTGTCAGTACCTCTGTTATTTTGTGTGCAAACACACACAGACACACACACACACACCTACCTCTGTTCTTCTGTTCGATAGCGAGCTGTTTCTCCAGGGTCTCCCTGAGATCTCTTTCCCTGAACAGCTCCATCTTCAGCTCCGTCTTCTCCAGCTGCACCTGCTTCTCCTGGGCCCGCGCGTTGTCAATTGCCACCTTCAGCAGGCCCTGCACACACACACACACACACACACCAGTTAGTACAAATACACACACACACACACACATAGACAAGTGCACACACGCATGCACACACAAACACACACGTAAGTCCACGCGCACGCACGCATGCACACGCGCACACACACACATCATATGCACTTCCAGTACATACACATGTGTATGTGCACAGACACACATGCACACTCAGTGCGTGCACACACAGAGACACATATACACACACACACACACACACACACACACACACACACACACACACACACACAATTACACAGCAACATGTAAAGGTAAAATAAACTGCCATTGAATGAGGGATAGTTTTGTTTTATCAGTTACAGTGTTTTATGTGTTATCATTGTATTTCTTCATAGTAACAGTAGAGATAATTTTTTCCAATGTGTCAAGTGTGTGAGATGGAGTGATTGAGATTTGTCTGACTCCTCTTGGTCATAGTCGTGAAATACAGGTGGACAGATAGGAGAGTATCTAGCTCATCTTCATCTTGGTAAGGCCTTTTCTATAATCTTTTCATCAACAGTGCATTCGGAAAGTATTCAGACCCCTTCACTTTTTCCACGTTATAGCCTTATTCTAAAATGGACAAAAATATTTTTTCCCTCATCAATCTACACACAATACCCCATAATGACAAACCGAAAACCATTTTTTTAAATATTAAAAATGAAATAAAAAACAGAAATAACTTATTTACATAAGTATTCAGACCCTTTACTATCAGACTTGAAATTGAGCTCAGGTGCATCCAGTTTCCATTGATCATCCTTGAGATGTTTCTACAACTTGATTGGATTCCACCTGTGGTAAATTCAATTGATTGGACATGATTTGGAAAGGCAAACAACCGTCTATATATGGTTGATCCGAGCAAAAACCAAGTGAGGTCGAAGGAATTGTCCGTAGAGATCCGAGACAGGATTGTGTCGAGGCACAGATCTGCGGAAGTGTACCAAAAAATGTCTGCAGCATTGAAGGTCCCCAAAAACACAGTGGCCTCCATCATTCTTAAATGGAATAAATTTGGAACCACCAAGACTCTTCCTAGAGCTGGCTACTTGGCCAAACTGAGCAATCGGGGGAGAAGGGCCTTGGTCAGGGAGGTGACCAAGAACACAATGGTCACTCTGACAGAGCTCCAGAGTTCCTCTGTGGAGATGGGAGAACCTTCCAGAAGGACAACCATCTCTGCAGCACTCCACCAATAAGGTCTTTAAAAAATAAATATATATTTCACCTTTATTTAACCAGGTAAGCCAGTTGAGAAGTTCTCATTTACAACTGCAACCTGGCCAAGATAAAGCAAAGCAGTGCAATAAAAACAACAACACAGAGTTACATACGGGGTAAAACAAAATATAAAGTCAAAAATACAACAGAAAATATATATACAGTGTGTGTGTATGTAGTAAGTTATGGAGGTAAGGCAATAAATAGGCCATAGTGCAAAATAGTTACAATTTTGTATTAACACTGGAATGATAGATGTGCAAAAGATGATGCGCAGATAGATATACTGGGGTGCAAATTAGCAAAATAAATAACAATATGGGATGAGGTAGTTGGGTGGGCTAATTTCAGAATGGCTGTGTACAGGTGCAGTGATCGGTAAGCTGCTCTGACAACTGATAATTAAAGTTAGTGAGGGAGATAAGAGTCTCCAGCTTCAGAGATTTTTGCAGTTCGTTCCAGTCATTTGCAGCAGAGAACTAGAAGGAATGGCGGCCAAAGGAGGTGTTGGCTTTGGGGATGACCAGTGAGATATACCTGCTGGAGTGCATACTACGGGTGGGTGTTGCTATGGTGACCAGTGAGCTAAGATAAGACGGGGATTTGCCTAGCAGTGATTTATAGATGACCTGTAGCCAGTGGGTTTGGCGACGAATATGTAGTGAGGGCCAGCCAACAAGAGCGTACAGGTCACAATGGTGGGTAGTATATGGGGCTTTGGTGACAAAACGGATGGCACTGTGATAGACTACATCCAATTTGCTGAGTAGAGTGTTGGAGGCTATTTTGTCACCGAAGTCAAGGATCGGTAGGATAGTCAGTTTTACGAGGGCATGTTTGGCAGCATGAGTGAAGGTGGCTTTGTTGCGAAATAGGATGCCGATTCTAGATCTAACTTTTGATTGGAGATGCTTAATGTGAGTCTGGAAGGAGAGTTTACAGTCTAACCAGACACCTAGGTATTTGTAGTTGTCCATATACTCTAGGTCAGATCCGCCGAGAGTAGTGATTCTAGTCGGGTGGGCGGGTGCAAGCAGCGTTCGGTTGAAGAGCATGCATTTAGTTTTACTAGTGTTTAAGAGCAGTTGAAGGCTACGGAAGGAGTGTTGTATGGAATTGAAGCTCGTTTGGATGTTTGTTAACACAGTGTCCAATGAAGGGCCAGATGTATACAAAATGGTGTTGTCCGCATAGAGGTGGATCCGAGCGTCACCAGCAGCAACAGGGACATCATTGATATACACAGAGCATAGAGTCGGCCCGAGAATTGAACCCTGTGGCACCCCCATAGAGAATGCCATAGGTCCAGACAACAGGCCCTCCGATTTGACACATTGAACTCTATCTGAGGAGTAGTTGGTGAACTAGGCGAGGCAGTCATTTGAGAAACCAAGGTTATTTAGTCTGCCAATAAGAATGCGGTGATTGACAGAGTCGAAAGTCTTGGCCAGGTCGATGAAGACGGCTGCGCAGTACTGTCTTTTATCGATCGCGGGTATAATATCGTTTAGGACCTTGAGCGTGGCTGAGGTGCACCCATGACCAGCTCGGAAACCAGATTGCATAGCGGAGAAGGTACGGTGGTATTCAAAATGGTCGGTGATCTGTTTGTTAACTTGGCTTTCAAATACAGTGAGGGAAAAAAGTATTTGATCCCCTGCTGTTTTTGTACGTTTGCCCACTGACAAAGAAATGATCAGTCTATAATTTTTATGGTAGGTTTATTTGAACAGTGAGAGACATAATAACAACAAAATAATCTAGAAAAACACATTTCAAAAATGTTATAAATTGATTTGCATTTTAATGAAGGAAATAAGTATTTGAGCCCCTCTCATTCAGAAAGATTTCTGGCTCCCAGGTGTCTTTTATACAGGTAACGAGCTGAGATTAGGAGCACACTCTTAAAGGGAGTGCTCCTAATCTCAGCTTGTTACCTGTATAAAAGACACCTGTCCACAGAAGCAATCAATCAATCAGATTCCAAACTCTCCACCATGGCCAAGACCAAAGAGCTCTCCAGGGACATCAGGGACAAGATTGTAGACCTACACAAGGCTGGAATGGGCTACAAGACCATCGCCAAGCAGCTTGGTGAGAAGGTGACAACTTTTGGTGCGATTATTCGCAAATGGAACAAACACAAAAGACCTGTCAATCTCCATCGGCATGGGGCTCCATGCAAGATCTCACCTCGTGGAGTTGCAATGATCATGAGAACGGTGAGGAATCAGCCCAGAAATACACGGGAGGATCTTGTCAATGATCTCAAGGCAGCTGGGACCATAGTCACTAAGAAAACAATTGGCAACACACTACGCCGTGAAGGACTGAAATCCTGCAGCGCCCGCAAGGTCCCCCTGCTCAAGAAAGCACATATACAGGCCAGTCTGAAGTTTGCCAATGAACTTCTGAATGATTCAGAGGAGAACTGGGGGAAAGTGTTGTGGTCAGATGAGACCAAATTCAAGCTTTTTGGCATCAACTCAACTCGCCGTGTTTGGAGGAGGAGGAATGCTGCCTATGTCCCCAAGAACACCATCCCCAACGTCAAACATGGAGGTGGAAACATGCTTTGGGGGTGTTTTTCTGCTAAGGGGACAGGACAACTTCACCGCATCAAAGGGACGATGGACAGGGCCATGTCAAATCTTGGGTGAGAACCTCCTTCCCTCAGCCAGGGCATTGAAAATGGTTATTGGATGGGTATTCCAGCATGACAATGACCCGAAACACACGGCCAAGGCAACAAAGGAGTGGCTCAAGAAGAAGCACATTAAGGTCCTGGAGTGGCCTAGCCAGTCTCCAGACCTTAATCCCATAGAAAATCTGTGGAGGGAGCTGAAGGTTCGAGTTGCCAAAGGTCAGCCTCAAAACTTTAATGACTTGGAGAAGATCTGCAAAGAGGAGTGGGACAAAATCCCTCCTGAGATGTGTGCAAACCTGGTGGCCAACTACAAGAAATGTCTGACCTCTGTGATTGCCAACAAGGGTTTTGCCACCAAGTACTAAGTCATGTTTTGCAGAGGGGTCAAATACTTATTTCCCTCATTAAAATGCAAATCAATTAATACAATTTTTGACATGCTTTTTTCTGTATTTTTGTTTTGTTATTCTCTCTCACTGTTCAAATAAACCTACCATTAAAATGATAGACTGATCATGTCTTTGTCAGTGGGCAAACATACAAAATCAGCAGGGGATCAAATAATTTTATGGGCAAGTTGGGCAAGTTGCAAGCATGGGCAAGTTGGGCATGGGCAAGCATGGGCAAGTTGCAGCGGAGGGTGTATAGCTGGTGGCCGGGGTAGTGGTAGCCAGGTGGAAAGCATGGCCAGCCGTAGCAAAGTTATTGCTACAGGATAGACATTTCTGTTTGAAAAAGCTAGCCTTTGCTTTCCTAACTGATTGTGTATATTGGTTCCTGACTTCCCAGAAAAGTTGCATATCGCGGGGGCTGTTCGATGCTAATGCAGTACGCCACAGGATGTTTTTGTGCTGGTCAAGGGCAGTCAAGTCTGAGGAGAACCAGGGGCTATATCTGTTCTTAGTTCTGAATTGTTTGAATGGGGCATGCTTATTTAAGATTGAGAGGAAAGCACTTTTAAAGAACACACAGGCATCCTCTACTGACGGAATGAGGTCAATATCCATCCAGGATTCCCAGGCCAGGTCGATTAGAAAGGCCTGCTCGCTAAAGTGTTTTAGGGAGCGTTTGACAGTGATGAGGGGTGGTCGTTTGACCGCGGACCCATTACGGACGCAGGCAATAAGGCAGTGATCGCTGAGATCCTGGTTGAAGACAGCGGAAGTGTATTTAGAGGGTACATTTGTCAGGATGATATCTATGAGGGTGCCCATGTTTACAGATTTAGGGTTGTACCTGGTAAGTTCATTGATAATTTGTGTGAGATTGAGGGCATCTAATTTAGATTGTTGGTTGGCCGGGGTGTTAAGCATATCCCAGTTTAGGTCACCAAGCAGTACGAACTCTGAGGATAGATGGGGGGCAATCAGTTCACATATGGTGTCCAGGGCACAGCTGGGGGCTGAGGGTAGAGTGGCCAGATGGAAGCCACTCCTCAGTAAAAGGCACATGACAGTCCACTTGGAGTTTGCCAAAAGGCACCTAAATGACTCTCAGACCATAAGAAACAAGACTCTCTGGTCTGATGAACCAAGATTGAACTCTTTGGCCTGAATGCTACGTGTCACATCTGGAGGAAACCAGGCACCGCTCATCACCTGGCCAATACCATCCCTACGGTGAAGCATGGTGGTGGCAGCATCACTCTGTGGGGATGTTTTTCAGCGGCAGGGCCTGGGAGACTAGTCAGGATCTAGGGAAAGATGAACGGAGCAAAGTACAGAGAGATCCTTGATGAAAACCTGCTCCAGAGTGCTCAGGACCTCAGACTGGGTCGAAGGTTCACATTTGAACAGGACAATGACCCTAAGCACACAGCCAAGAGAATGCAGGAGCGGCTTCGGGACAAGTCTCTGAATGTCCTTGAGTGGCCCAGCTAGAGCCCGGACTTGAACCCGATCAAAGATCTCTGGAGAGACCTGAAAATAGCTGTGCAGCGACGCTACCCATCCAACCTGACAGAGAGAGAGGATCTGCAGAGAAGAATGGGAGAAACTCCGCAAATACAGGTGTCCCAAGCTTGTAGCGTCATACCCAAGAAGACTCGAGGCTGTAATCACTGTCAAAGGTGCTTCAACAAAGTACTGAGTAAAGGGTCTGAATATTTGTGTAAATGTGATATTCCAAAACCTTGTTTTTGCTTTGTCATTATGACGTATTGTGTGTAGATTGATGAAGAAAAAAACAATGTAATATATTTTAGAATAAGGCTGTAACGTAACAAAATGTGGAAAAAGTAAAGGGGTCTGAATACTTTCCGAATGCACTGTATAATCCTTTTTGCCTTTGGCTGTTGCCCTAGGTCTAGGTCTGGGATTTCCGAGACTAACTATCTATGAATGATGACAACTGAGATACAAACATCTCTCTCAGGCTTTTACAGCCATGCTACTCCTACTGTTCGACTACTTAATATTATAGTCTCCATTCTGTGCATTGTCCGATTCCACAACAATTACTCCCCATCTATATGTAATTACACCAAATGCAGTGGGCTATAGCTTACTAATTGTTGGTTCCCGTGACCCCAATTTAGACATAGTTGCTTTATCTCAATTATCTGCTTGGTTTCATTTTGTTGATTTGTATATAAATATTAAACGCCGAGATAATTGTCAGAGATGACTTACTTTAGTGTTGGAGTTGTGTGTTTGTGTCGGAGATGTGTGTGGTGTGGTGCAGACCAAAGGGATAACTGTGGATGTCCGTGGTATCGGAGTATCGGAGCGGTGAGCAGGGGAGTGCTGTATCCACATCATTACACTCTGATATACACTGAACAAAAATATGAACGCAACACACAACAATTTCAAAGATTTTACTAAGTTACAGTTCATATAAGGAAATCAGTCAATTGAAATCAATTCATTAGGCCCTAATCTATGGATTTCACATGACTGGGAATACAGATATGCATCTATTGGTCACACATACTTTTATTTAAAGGTAGGGGCGTGGATAAGAAAACCAGTCAGTATCTGGTGTGACCACCATTTGTCTCATGCAGCACGACACATCTCCTTTGCATATATTTGATCGGGCTGTTGATTGTGGCCTGTGGAAACTTGTCCCACTCCTCTTCAATGGCTGGATATTGGTGGGAACTGGAACACGCTGTCGATCCAGAGCATCCCAAACAGGCTCAATGGGTGACATGTCTTGTGAGTATGCAGGCCATGGAAGAACTGGGACATTTTCAGCTGAATGGCACGACAGGATCTCGTCACAGTATCTCTGTGCATTGAAATAGCCACTGATAAAATGCAATTGTGTTCGTTGTCCGTAGCTTATGCCTGCCCATATCATAAACTCACTGCCACCATGGGGCACTCTGTTCACAACGTTGACATCAGCAAGCTGCTCACACACACGACGCCATTCATGCTGTCTGCCATCTGCCCGGTACAGTTGAAACCGGGATTCATCCGTGAAGAGCACATTTCTCCAGCGTGCCAGTGACCATCGAAGGTGAGCATTTGCCCACTGAAGTCAGTTACGACACTGAACTGCAGTCAGGTCAAAACCCTGGTGAGGACGACGAGCATGCTGATGAGCTTCCCTGAGACAGTTTCTGACAGTTTGTGCAGAAATTCTTCAGTTGTGCACAATTTCATCAGCTGTCCGGGTGGCTGGTCTCAGACAATCCCGCAGGTGAAGAAGCCGGATGTGGAGGTCCTGGGCTGGCGTGGTTACACGTGGTCTGCGGTTGTGAGGCCGATTGGACGTACTGACAAATTCTATAAAACGACGTAGAGAAATAAACATTAAATTCTCTGGCAACAGCTCTGGTGGACATTCCTGCAATCAGCATGTCAATTTCCTGCTCCCTAAAAACGGGCATTGTGTTGTGTGACAAAACTGCACATTTTAGAGTGGCCTTTATTGTCCCCAGCACAAGCTGCACCTGTGTAATGATTGTGCTGTTTAATCAACTTCTTGATATGCGACACCTGTTAGGTGGATAGATTATCTTGGCAAAGGAGAAACGCTCACTAACAGGGATGTTAGATAAATAAGCTATTTGTGCATATGGAACATTTCTGCGATATTTTATTTCAGCTCATGAAACATGGGACCAACACTTTACATGTTGCGTTTACATTTTTGTCCAGTATTGAACGGCAAGACATTAATCTCTTTGAATGCAGGGTACCTATACATAACGTTTCTCAGAGCATGATCGCTGACCTAGGATCAGTTTTACAGTTTAGATCACAATGAATAAGATTATATGGAACTCGGTGCCCTGATCCTAGATCAGAACTCCCATCCTGAGATGCTTTGTGAATACAGACTGTGGTCTTTACAGTTGCAGCCTAAATGGTACTTAAGACAAACGGCTATACTAACTGAAGGTTTCCTTAGCAATACTATACAAGCTGGTTGAGAGAATGCCAAGAGTGTGCAAAGCTGTCATCAAGGCAAAGGGTGGCTACTTTGAAGAATCTCAAATATAAAATATATTTTGATTTGTTTAACACTTTTTTGGTTACTACATGATTCCATATGTGTTATTTCATAGTTTTGATGTCTTCACTATTATTCTACAATATAGGAAATAGTATGTGTGTCCAAACTTTAGACTGGTACTGTAAGTGTATGTTAGTGAGGAGCACCTAGATTGGTCAGACCTACTGTACCTGTATGTTAGTGAGGAGATTCTCAATAGATGACAGGCCGTCTGGGAACAGGAATGGCGAAGGGAAGCCAGGTTGTAGACCTTGTCCAGCCAATGACAGCCTCTCGTAGCTGTCTCTCGCCGTCGGGGTGCACATTGGAATGTCATCTGGAATACAGAAGAAGTAAGGACATGATTCTTTACTGACAGCTGTGAAAGAAAACACAGTACCTTACATAGTGGTTTATATACTTTTTTTCTGCTGTGAGGCATTTCAAATAATATGTTTGAGTAGCCTACTGTGCATCCAAACAGTAGCTTGACACTTATTGGTTGACAATAGTACTTGTATAGGTACTGAACTCTATGATTCAGTCAATCAGAGCTCTCAGGTCCTCTCTGATAGAAAATCCAGTCCAGGGCTGAATCTGAAAAGTATTTCTTAAATAATCCGTGCCTCCTTCTCAAATCGCATTGGATGAGAAGATTCAAGGTTTCTTCTCATCCAATGTTTTTCGAGAATGAGGCGAGAGGTCACAAGGAATCACATAAAGACTATTGAGATTCACTCCAGTCCGCATTGACTACCCTACACTGTCTCTCAGGGTCTAACCAAAGGGTTAACCTTCATCCATCCAGGACATAAATTCCACTTTTCCCATTGAAGGGAGTTATTCATGTGCATTCACAAATAAGAAGAAGCAGGCCTACAGAGCTCTATTACCTCGGCTGGTTCAGCTTCCTTTGTGTATGCACATACGGGTGCCTGTCAAACCTATAGGATGACATCATCAACCATTTATCACCAATAGAGGGCCAGGCAGGGCCCTGCCATCTGCTGTACACACTATCCATAACACCAGAGAGAGAGAGAGAGAGAGAGAGAGTGGTGTGTGTATGCGTGTGTACGTGCAAAATATCTATCTGTGTCATCTTTGATATGTTTCTATATGTTTGCTTTGGTAATGTATGTGTTTAACACTTCCATGCCAATAAAGACTTCTGAATGTAATTAAATTGAATTGAGAGCGAGAGAGACAGCTAGATAAAGAAAGAGAGAGAGAGACATTACACTGTCAGGAAGAGGTACCACTTTATGTTTATGTTTGTCTGAAGAGCCTTACGGTAAGTCAACCACTTACACCACACACACACACACACACTTGTACATGTGCACACACACACACACACACAGCTTTATTTTTGTAAAATGTCAGGACTTTTTGGGGAGTGAAAATGTTTGACCATTACAAATCCTATTTTCCCTAACCCTAAACCTAACCCTACACCTAACCTAACCCCAAACACCCTAACCCTAAACCTAACGTTAACCCTAACCTCAACCCCAAAACCCTAAACCTAATCCTTAAAATAGCATTTGAAAAAATTCAGGACATAAAAAAAGTCCTGACTTTTCAAAAAAGTTATTGTTTTCCTATCTTTTCAGGATAGGTGAATTGTTAGGACATTAGGGTCCTGATAAGGTAGGAAAACAACTACACACACTTCTCAAAAGTATATATTATGTGCCATCAGTTATCCCTGCTTACTCCATTTTGATCAAGTCCACTTTTATTTTTCTAACACTGCACCCTGACTGTGCTCTGTGCAGGTCCCTTCTCTCCCATCTCATCCACTATACATACATGTTTATGTGGCAGAGTGAATGCGGCACAAAAACAGATGAGCTCCTTCCTCACAGTCTCTCTCCTCTCTCTTTCCCTTCTCACATGCTCTCTCTCCCTCCCTTCCTCCCCTCTCTCCTACCATCAATATTCACTAACGCCAGCCAAGTGGTAGGAACAGCTGGTCGGCCATTAATTAGTTTAAAGTATTTATTTCACACATCCTCAGAGCAGATTGAGCAAAAACATTGGAGATGATTTAGAGCATCTGCAAATGCCCTGGAAACATGGGCTCACCAGCAGGCAGTGGAGTGTAAGAGTGCTAGGAAACACAGTATAGAGTTTGAAATTTAGAGGAAAAAAATATGTATACTTTTTTTGGGAGAGGCAAAAAGAGAGTGGAATATCCACTCTTGGTGCATGGAGGGCGTCAACAACCTTTCTGCTCTTTTTTTCCTCCTCTCTTGTTTTATATTTTCACTCCTGTTGATTAATTAGAATGGATGGATGCCTAATGGATTCAAATTAGTTTCTAATTTGAATTCATGAAAAAAGAATGAACCGCCTACTTTTAAGAAGTCACTTCTGTGGTAATTTGTTGTTGTTCATGTTTTTACTGCTTTATTGTGGGATGAGTGAGCATATGATAAAATTACATCCTCTCTAACAAGAGCTACAGCGAGCAACTCATTTGAAGCAAGAAATACACTGTTTATTTTATTTTTACTGTTACACTGAAATGTTACGAATAACTACTATCTCATTTCAAATACTCGGCCTCTGATTTGTTCATATACATGTACAACATCTGCCATTTGCATTCATTACATTACACTTTACATAGACCCCCTCTGATGACTACTGCAAATATCTCTGTCCAATAAAATCTGCATAACTGCTACCAACGCTAGTAGATCTCACCATAGTGCCCTCCAAGCTCATCACTAAGCACAGGGCCCTGGGTCAGAACCCCTCCCTGTGCAACTGGGTCCTGGATGGGCCGACCCCAAGTGGTGAAGGTCGGCAACAACACCTCCGCCACGCTGATTCTCAACACGGGGGCCCCACAGGGGTGCGTGCTCAGCCCCCTCCTGTACTCCCTGTTCACCCATGAATGCGTGGCCAGGCACGTCTCCAATTCAATCATCAAGTTTGCTGACGACACAACAATGGTAGGGTTGATTACCAACAACGTTGAGACAGCCTACAGGAAGGAGGTGAGAGTCCTGGCGGAGTGGTGCCAGTAAAATAACCTCTCCCTCAACATCAACAAAACAAAGGAGCTGATTGCGGACAAAAGGAGACAGCAGAGAGAGCACGCCCCCCATCCACATTGAAGGGGCCGCAGTGGAGAGGGTCAAAAGCTTCAGGTTCCTCAGCGTGCACATCACTGACAACCTGAAATGGTCCCTTCACAAAGACAGCGTGGTGAAGAAGGCGCAACAGGAGGCGTAAGAAATGTCGCTTGGCCCCTAAGACCCTCAAGAACTACAGATGCACCATTGAGAGCATCCAGTCAGGCTGTATAACCGCCTGGTACGGCAATTGCACCGTCTACAACCGCAAGGCTCTCCAGAGGGTGGTGCAGTCAGCCCAACGCATCACCGGGGGCACACTGCCTGCCCTCCAGGACATCTACAGCACCCGGTGTCACAGGAAGGCCAAGAAGATCATCAAGGACCTCAGCTACACGAGCCACGGCCTATTCACCCCGCTACCATTTAGAAGGTGGAGACAGTACAGGTGCATCAAAGCTGGGACAGAGAGACTGAGAAACAGCTTCTATCTCCAGGCCATCAGACTGTTAAACAGTCACCACTAGCCTTAGTCACTGTTCTTGCTGGCTACCAGCCAGTACTCTACCCTGCACCATAGAGACTTCTGCTTTATGTACATAGTCATTGAACACTGGTCACTTTAACAATGTTTACATACTGTTTTACCCACACTACATGGATATACTCTATTCTAGTCATGGCTCATCCTATATAACTACTGCTGTACATATATTTTCTATTCATATACTGTTCATCCTGTCTTTACACACCATTATATATATATATATATATATATATATATATATATATATATATATATATATATATATATATATATATATATATATATATATATATTCTGGTCTCTGCCATTGCTCGTTCTGATATTATTTATTATTTTTGTTCTTTTTTTTCAGGATTATGTGTGTATTGTTAAACAAATGTTTATTGTTAAGTATTACTGCACTGTTGGAGCTAGAAACACAAGTATTTTGCTGCACCTGCGATAACATCTGCAAATCTGTGTATGCGACTAATAAACTTTGATTTGATAGAAGGCTTGATGTTGTAGCTTTGTAATTGATTTGTCCTGTAGGCACTTTGTCCCTTATTTAGTGTTGGCATTCATCATAAATCAATGCTTTAACAAACTCCGGCTTTGCACTCAGCAGGCCTCCCCTTCTGCAACACGCCAGCAGATCACAGAGAATATTTGATGACTTTGTTGCAGAGGAAACAACCTGTCACGAGGCACGGGAAAAGCAAACAGCTTTGTGTTTTGTTCCACATAGACTCACAACTACAGAGATGAGCAGCACCGCTTGTCAGAGTACATGTAATTTTCAACAAAAGAGGTGTGTGCGCAAATACAGGTAGGTTGACAAGAGCACATGGAAGCAAACAGCTAAATCAAACAATATTCATTAATCACTGTTTGTTCAACACCGTGTTTATTGCAGTGAAACTCCAGATCAGTTGTTTCGTCTTCAGGCTTTCACCAGGTCTCTCCTCAACTCCCTTCTCTTCATCTCCTCTCCTCCAATCTCCTCCTTTCCTCTCCTCCCACCTTCTCCTCTTTTCTTCTCCTCTCCCCTACCACCCCTCTCCTCTATTCTCCTCTCCTCTGGCTCTCCTATCCTGCTGGCATGTGTTTGCATGAAGTGCCGCGTTTCCAGGTGATACAGTGCCTTGCAAATGTATTCCTCCCCCTTGGTGTTTTTCCTATTTTGTTGCATTACAACCTGTAATTTAAATTGATTTTTTATTTGGATTTCATGTAATGGACATACACAAATTTGTCCAAATTGGTGAAGTGAAATGAAAAAAATAACTTGTTTCCAAAAATTCTAAAAAATAAATAACGGAAAAGTGGTGTGTGCATATGTATTCACCCCCTTTGCTATGAAGCCCTTAAATAAGATCTGGTGCAACCAATTACCTTCAGAAGTCACATATATAAATTAAGTCCACCTGTGTGCAATCTAAGTGTCACATGATCTGTCACATGATGTCCGTATATATACACCTGTTCTGAAAGGCCCCAGAGTCTGCAACACCCCTAAGCAACGGGCACCACCAAGCAAGCGGCACCATGAAGACCAAGGAGCTCTCCAAACAGGTCAGGGACAAAGTTGTGGAGAAGTACAGAACAGGGTTGGGTTATAAAAAAATATCAGAAACTTTGAACATCCCACGGACACCATTAAATCCATTATTAAAAAATGGAAAGAATATGGCACCACAACAAACCTGCC